GACTGTTTTAGCAACTGTTACAATCAAGGTGTATTGTGGTGTACTGAAGCAAGGTGAAGCAAGGTGTTTCTGTCTTTGTGTCCTGGTATCTATTCAGTCAGTGGACTGTTTTAGCAACTGTTACAATCAAGGTGTATTGTGGTGTACTGAAGCAAGGTGAAGCAAGGTGTTTCTGTCTTTGTGTCCTGGTATCTATTCAGTCAGTGGACTGTTTTAGCAACTATTACAATCAAGGTGTATTGTGGTGTACTGAAGCAAGGGTGAAGCAAGGTGTTTCTGTCTTTGTATCCTGGTATCTATTCAGTCAGTGGACTGTTTTAGCAACTGTTACAATCAAGGTGTATTGTGGTGTACTGAAGCAAGGTGAAGCAAGGTGTTTCTGTCTTTGTGTCCTGGTATCTATTCAGTCAGTGGACTGTTTTAGCAACTGTTACAATCAAGGTGTATTGTGGTGTACTGAAGCAAGGTGAAGCAAGGTGTTTCTGTCTTTGTGTCCTGGTATCTATTCAGTCAGTGGACTGTTTTAGCAACTGTTACAATCACGGTGTATTGTGGTGTACTGAAGCAAGGTGAAGCAAGGTGTTTCTGTCTTTGTGTCCTGGTATCTATTCAGTCAGTGGACTGTCTTAGCAACTGCTACAATGGTGTATAGTCATGATCAATTTCCTACAATACAAATTTCAATAAACGTTTGAAGAGTTTTTTAACTGAGTGAACTATCCAAGTTGAGCAATATCTGTTACTTCTGCACAGCCAAAACTACGGTCTGTCCTCATTAATGTTTCAAAAGTATTTTCCTGTGAACAAATTGTGGTATTTTTTTACAACAATGAGCTTGGTTCACACATCTTCCTGCCTTGAGTTCATCTAAGTGAACACTAATTGAATACAGTATTTTTGAAACACTGTCAAGTCTTGCTGTTTTTACAAAGCTGAAGTACATAGTCTGCGTACACCATCTTGACTTTAGCCACTATCCCAAAGACATCAATTCCAAGTTTCCGTAAAGGTGCCAAGAGTTAGCACAAATAATGAGGAAATTGATTGGTAGATAATATGTGCTGTTCTTCTTCAGAGCTCCAACAGATGGAAGAAACATAGGTCCGTCATTAAACATGTGCAGGAAATGAAATGCCGAGGGTAAAAAATGTTCTAATGGTCCCTTTGAGAATTGAAGTAATTAGTTCCTGACACGGAAACAACGTCCAGACACATGACGATTTCGTTGTTGATTGGGGTCATGCTCCCTCCGGTTCCCAGTTAAAACACCAAGGGCAGTTACAGCGAAAAAATGTAATGAAGAACAGGAAAAAATACAGCCTTCTGTTCCATGGTTACATAAGAGGAGAATACATATGAAATGTAATTAGCTTGTCGAAGTAGTGCTCAGTGTTTAATTTGCATGTCGGAATCATGTGTTTACTTCTTGAACTGACCATCCGATCCTGGTAGTCGCCTATCTTAACATGCATGGGTTGTTAAAGACCAATTCCATCATGGATTTTTACTGGGGTGGAATTGCAAGATGGGTTCCTAGGCACATATTCTGCCCAGGAATCACCCTCAGGGACAGTGACTATTTCCTGTCTGTCAGAAATCCAGAAGAAGCTACTTGAAATTGTTTTCATAAGTGTGGCCTTTCCATTGTCATCTTTTTTCAGTGTTTGTCTAGTTTTCTTGTGTCAAAATATATTTCTAACAGTCTCCTATATAACATAAAAAAATATCATAAACAATTACAGTCTTAAACACTAAAATTTCAAGCATGCCTCTAATCACATCATGATCAGTCTGTTTGACTGACTGACTGAGTTTAGTTTTACGCCGCTTTTAGCAATATTCCAGCAATATCACGGCGGGGGACACTAGAAATGGGCTTGTGCCCATGTGGGGAATCGAACCGGGTCTTCGAACGCTTTAACCACTAGGCTACCCCACCGCCCCTCAGTCTGTTTGAAACTACCATAGTGTGACTGAGCTGATGTAGTCTCAACAGTTGTTCCATGGCTGATTGTGGCAGGAAAGCCTAGACTGAGTCAGGTTTGAGACACTTACCACTTAGGTGACACCTTTAAGTATGGGTAAACTGGGATTCAAACCCATCATCTGATCATCTTATAGCAATATTCCAGCAACATCACAGCGGGAAATGGGCTCAACACATCGTACCCATGTGTGGAATCGAACCTGGGTCTTTGGTGTGACGAGCCAACACTTTTAACCACTAGGCTACCCCACGGCCCCTTATTGTCTTGTCTTGTCCTCACAAGCAGAGAGAGCGACAGGACGAAATCCACCTTGTAATCTACCAGATCAAAGCCAATTACAAACACCCTGATTTGCACGTCCGTAACAACATGAATCCCAGACATAAATATTCTGATTATGGTCTGAATGATATCCAATACAGTCTTCCAGACGACTGATTATTAATCTAAGTTGAATGGCCATACTCATCTGGTTTATAGGTGAATAATTTCTGTTGCTATTATGCTCCAATTGAGCTATTTATACAAGTGCGGATGAAACATGCGTTTCCCAGTATAAATTCCATCTAGATCAACAGTGAAATAGTATAAATACGAAAGGACCAATTATGGCCCTTGATGGCCATCTTGAAACGGCAGATATGTTTAACTGTGGCAATTAGTTGTAGAGCAACAAGCACAAGCAGTTACAGCTCCCTGAGTAAAGATCTGTATGATATTGACAAGAGGAGACCAACACTGGCACTGGTGATCAACTTTCCTAGCATTTTACCACGCACAGAACTACAGCCGATCATTGCGCTTGTGATAAAACCAGGGCCGGGTTATTTGGTCTGCGTGGGCGGCCCAACTGAACAAATCTGCACTGCAATCAAGGATGCTTTACATGGCAATTAACGACTATTATCCAGCACATGCTCATTGAGATGAAGACCACCTGCCAGATGGCGCTGTCAGGTTGATATATCCCATGATGCACCGCAGTCGGCTAGATGTACTAGCCAACTAATATCTCGCAACTTCAAACCAGTTTTTCGAGTGACTGATGTGTTAAAAAATGACCGAACACAAAACTTGTCTGTAGATACACGTTTGTTGTATAATCAAAAAGCTTCTTTCCTTGACACTGATTGATAAGGACCTTTTAAATTGAAATATTTTGACACATGTGAGAGTATTTGGATGTATTTTTTGGGAGAAACACCCTAAGTCGAACACATAATGAAAATATTTTCCAATAGTGAAAGATGTCTTGGACTGCCACAGAAATTCTGCAAAATGGAATATAATTTGGATGACAACAGATAAAAAGATACCACTGACACAATTGAAAACATGACTTTGAATTGTGTTAAGTACTGCATCCTAATGATTGCTACACATTGTTAATATTGACAAGAAGACATTAATGGAAAACAGGATGGACAGGATGAAGGGAACACTAAACGACAGACACATGGAGAGACGGAATGACAGAGTAATGGACAGGGTAATGGACAGACAGGTGAAATAAATAATGAAGACAGATGGACAGTAATGGACAGACAGGTGAAATGACTGATGGACAGGGTAATGGACAGACAGGTGAAAAGACAGATGGACAGGGGAATGGACAGACAGGTGAAAAGACAGATGGACAGGGTAATGGACAGACAGGTGAAAAGACTGATGGACAGGGTAATGGACAGACAGGTGAAAAGACTGATGGACAGATAGACAGAGTAATGGACAGACAGGTGAAAACACTGATGGACAGATGGACAGATTAATGGACAGACAGGTGAAAGACTGATGGACAGATGGACAGACAGGTGAAAAGACATATGGACAGACAGGTGAACAGACTGATGCACAGAGTAATGGACAGACAGGTGGACTGACACACACAGAGAGTAATGGACAGACAGGTGAAAAGACAGATGGACAGGGTAATGAGCAGACAGGTGAAAAGACAGATGGACAGGGTAATGGACATACAGGTGAAAAGACTGATGGACAGGGTAATGGACAGACAGGTGAAAAGACAGATGGACAGGGTAATGGACAGACAGGTGAAAAGACTGATGGACAGGGTAATGGACAGACAGGTGAAAAGACTGATGGACAGGGTAATGGACAGACAGGTGAAAAGACTGATGGACAGATAGACAGAGTAATGGACAGACAGGTGAAAACACTGATGGACAGATGGACAGATTAATGGACAGACAGGTGAAAGACTGGACAGATGGACAGACAGGTGAAAAGACATGGACAGAGTAATGGACAGAAAGGTGAAAAGACATACGGACAGACAGGTGAACAGACTGATGCACAGAGTAATGGACAGACAGGTGGACTGACACACACAGAGAGTAATGGACAGACAGGTGGACAGGATGATGCACAAAGTAATGGACAGACAGGTGGACAGACTGATGCACAGAGTAATGGGTAGACAGGTCGACAGACTGATGCACAGAGTAATGGACAGACAGGTGGACGCACTGATGCACAGAGTAATTGGTAGACAGGTGGACGACTGATGCACAGAGTAATGGACAGACAGGTGGACGCACTGATGCACAGAGTAATGGACAGACAGGTGAACAGACTGATGGACAGTAATGGACAGACAGGCGAACAGACTGATGGACAGACTGACGAAAAGGCTAATGGACAGACAGGTGAAAAGACTGATGGACAGACTGATGCACAGAGTAATGGACAGACAGGTGGATGGACTGATGCACAGAGTAATGGACAGACAGGTGAACAGACTGATACACAGCTTAATGGACGGACAGGTGGACAGACAGATGCACATAGTAATGGACAGACATGTGGACAGACTGATGAACAGAGTAATGGACAGACAGGTGGACAGACTGATGCACAGAGTAATGGGTAGACAGGTGGATGGACTGAATGTCAAACTGTAAACAGACTGTAGGATAGACATTTGCACAGACTGATGGACAGATGAAGCGATTGATAGATGGAGGGACAGACAGAGGGACAGACAGACCTTACCAGACAATCAGGATCCATTGCATAACAGTAGTCTCCTGAGGCATTAGTCTCCACCCACAGATGCTCGCTATTGACTGCCTGTTCCTGGAAAAAAATGCAAACTGTTAGACATCAGCTTACATAGCTCATAAGAGATAACTGCTGGTTGCCAGTTCCTGACACGTAAATGCAGACAGTTAGAGGCCGTCCATTATCACCTGCAGATCATTATTGTTGTTTGCCTTGTAATACAATACTGTGCATGTTTGAAATAGGTCAGTAGCTGTTTGAGTCAGTAGTGACAACCGACTGGTCAACCCACATGGTGGGTGGGTCAGTGGTGCTTTAGGTGACATCAGTCAGTCGTGGGTGGGGCAATGTGTGTCACTTGATGTGCTTCCACCAGTGGGTGGGTTTCAGCTTGCATCAGCAGGTCTGTTGTTTAATCGGCATCAATGGGTCTGTTTTTAAGTAGGCATCAGTGGGTTTGGCATTTGGTATAATTAACGTATGTTATATTTGGGATTACACTTTATTAGTAAAGTTCAGATTCTAGTACTTTTTGGGTTGAGTCCCATCTGGGATTTGAACCCACACCCTCAGAGTCAGGCACCTAACCGCCAGCACACAAAGTCAGACGCCTAGACCGCTCAGCCACCGCGGCTACCACTTTCTAAAATGGCATTGTGTATTTCTTGGTATAATTAGTTTACCAATGGTCAGGGGGTTTCAGTGGGAGTGTCAGATGATGCAGCGGTTGTGTCAGATGATGCAGTGGGTGTGTCAGATGATGCAGTGGGTGTGTCAGATGATGCAATGGTTGTGTCAGGTAATGCAGTGGTTGTGTCAGATGATGTAGTGGGTGTGTCAGGTAATGCAGTGGGTGTGTCAGATGATGCAGTGGGTGTGTCTGGTAATGCAGTGGGTGTGTGTCCAGATGATGCAGTGGGTGTGTCAGGTAATGCAGTGGGTGTGTCAGATGATGCAGTGGGTGTGTCAGGTAATGCAGTGGGTGTGTCAGATGATGCAGTGGGTGTGTCAGAGGATGCAGTGGGTGTGTCAGAGAATGCAGTAGGTGTGTCAGAGAATGCAGCGGATGTGTCAGATGATGCAGTGGGTGTGTCAGGTAATGCAGTGTGTGTGTGAGATGATACAGTGGGTGTGTCAGAGAACAAGTGGGAGTGTCAGATGATGCAGTGGATAAGTGGTCAGTCACTTAGGACACAGAGAGGCCAGTAATGCAGGGGATGTGTCAGATGATGCAGGTGTGTCAGAAAATGCAGTGGATGTGTAAGAGGATGAAGTGGTTGTGTCAGAGGATGCAGTGGATGTGTCAGATAATGCAGTGGATGTGTCAGATGATGCAATGGTTGTGTGAGATGATGCAGTGGGTGTGTCAGAGAACAAGTAGGTGTGTCAGATAATGCAGTTCGTGTGTCAGATGATGCAGTAGGTGTGTGAGAAAATGCAGTGGATGTGTTAGATGATGCAGTACGTGTATCAGAGGATGCAGTGGTTGTGTCAGATAATGCAGTGGATGTGTCAGATGATGCAGTAGGTGTATCAGAGGATGCAGTGGTTGTGTCAGATAATGCAGTGGGTGTGTCAGATGATGCAGTGGGTGTGTCAGATGATGCAGTGGGTGTGTCAGATGATGCAGTGGGTGTGTCAGATGATGCAGTGGGTGTGTCAGATGATGCAGTGGTTGTTTCAGATGATGCAGTGGATATGTCAGGAGATGGAGTGCATGTGTCTGATAATGCAGTGAGAGCATGATGTTATAGTGGTCCGGTCATAGGACGCAGAGGCCAGGCAAGATGAGACCGCGGATGTCGGAGGATGTAGTAGGAGGGCTACAATATGTGTTTGTGGGCATGAGTTGTAAGTTCAGATATCATCAGTTGTAACTGAGTTGTCATATCCAGTATGTCAATAATGCAGTATGCCACAATAATGCAGTATGCCACACAAGCAGTGACTAGTTGCAAGTAATAACTGATGAAGAATCTCCAAATATTCTGAAAAACTAGGAAAATGGTAGCACCATGAGTTCATCAAGTGTTGATTGACCTTAAAACTCTGTTGAAACAAAATCACCTTTGAAATGCACCTGATGCCAAATTTGGATTCCTAAGTGAGAAATAAAAAAGCATTTTTATGAGAGCATTTAATTTCTAAAGTGCACTTGTCTGAAATGTTAGATTCTTAAAGGAAAAATACAGAGGCAGTTCCAGTAAGCAGTTAACAGAAGCTCCAGTACAATAAGTATCTCATAGACATTAACGGGCAACAAGCTGGAAGTGACTCCACAGCTGATGAAAGTAGAGTAGAATTTAAATACCTCAGAGAAAATGTAGAATATTTTCAGTAAAAACAAAATAAAAACGTTACAGTAGGCGTGAAACAGCTTGTAACTATTGCAGTTAGATGCTTTTTCTGAGTGATCTTTGGGGAAAAAATGAAAACTGTTTTCTGATGTTTTGCTGGATGTTCCATTTATTCATTAAGTCTCCATGAGGTCAGGAATTACTACTCCAAGCTTAAGTCAAAAGGGAGAGTCACGTGACAAGTACTAGTGACCAGCAAGGGAGGGAGTGAGTGAGTGAGTGAGTGAGTGAGTGAGTGAGTTCATATTCAGCAATATTCCAGCAATATGGCGGCGGTCTGTAAATAATCGAGTCTGGACCAGACAATCCAGTGATTAACTGCATGAGCATCGATCTATGCAGTTGGGAACTGATGACATGTGTCAACCAAGACAGCGAGCCTGACCACCCGATCCCGTTAGTCGGCTCTTACGACAAGCATGGGTTACTGAAGATCAATATTCTAACCCGGACCTTCACGGGTGTGATCAGCAAGGAGGTGGGCAGAGCACAAGTCAAGACACCAGTGCCATTTTTTGTACGATGCACCTAAAATCATCTGTAAACTCATGAACCTGGTTAATCTCATCTTCATCAATTATTAGCAACATTGGCCTAATATTACATCTCTGCTACAGTGAGCCTTGCAAATAATGGTGAGCAAATATTTCTGATGAAATTTACTAAAAATGATGTCAACGATATCTGTGCCCCTGTTGGTAATTGTCTGCGGTAACGTCAAGGGGCAATACTGTCCAGACTTGTCTCCAGTAAGCGAGTGAGATAAAGTTTCACAGTGTGTCAGCATTATTTCAGCCATACCACGACAAGGTATCATCTCAAGACCCATCCTGGCCAACAATGTAAAAAAGATAGAAATTTCTCATATCATTGTGCCCCAAACTCCTTATATTATAGTGCATGAAATCCCTTGTATTATAGTGCCCCAAACTCCTTGTATTGTAGTGCCTGAAATCCCTTGTATTACAATGCCCCAAATTCCTTGTACTATAGTGCCCTCAACTCCTTGTATTATCGTGCCCCAAGCTCCTTGTATTATAGTGCCCCAAATCCCTTGTTATAGTGCCCCAAATGCCCTCAAGCTCCTTGTATTATAGTGCCTGAAATTCCTTGTATTATAGTGCCCCAAATTCCTTGTATTATAGTGCCTGAAATTCCTTGTATTATAGTGCCTGAAATTCCGTGTATTATAGTGCCTGAAATTCCTTGTATTATAGTGCCTGAAATTCCTGGTATTATAGTGCCCAAACTCCTTGTATTATAGTGCCTGAAATTCCGTGTATTATAGTGCCTGAAATTATAGTGCCCAATATTCTTGTAAATTATTGTCCAAAATCCTTGTATTATAGTGCCTGAAATTCCTTGTATTATAGTGCCTGAATTCATTTGTGTCATAGTGCCTGAAATTCCTTGTATTATAGTGCCTAAAATTCCCTGTTATAGTGCCTGAAATTCCTTGCATCATAGTGCCCAAAATTCTTGTAAATTATTATTATTCCTTGTGTCATAGTGCCTGAAATTCCTTCTGTTATGGTTCAAATAAAGTCACAGATGACATACATTCTTTACAGCCAAAGGCCCCATTTACAAAATAAATCTTCAAAATACAGCAAATAAAGCGTGACAAGCATTGTTGTTGACCCACTTCAAACGGCACATCAAAAAATCTGAAATCTGCAGGACTGCAATGTGTACTGAAAACTAAATAGATTTATGTCTCTTGTTGACCCACTTAAACTCCAAAGATCACATAAATATGTCTTTGTAAATAACAAAAAACCGAATTCCATCTCCCTGCTGTATGAAGTGTGTGCTTTCTCACCTCCACTCATTCAGGACTTGGTTAGATGAGAGTGTTTGTCTGCAACTGAGTCAAAGAAAGGTTCTATTTGTAACACAATCGCTAACAGTGACAGACAGCTAAGGGAATTAATTCAGGCGGAATTGACAGAAAGTAGTGACCAATTTTGAGTTATCCCGTCAAGTGACACAGAGGGTACGCTTTTGGAGCAGTATTGACTGAACCCTGTTGCAGCCAGTGCAGAAACACTGTGCCTGGTTCAGACAATCTATGGCTGAAAATGGTCATCGAAATGGTCTAATAATTGCAGCCCAAGGACATCAATTCCATTGAAGACTTCCATTTGAGATTCAGAAGATGGAAAGTAGGCAACCAAAAATAAACTGTGAGGACCCTAGGGAACAAGCTTCTCATCAACAGCAACGAGATCTCGGTTTCTACCACAGCATATTCAACGAAATATCAAATCTTCTACTTACAGGAACCACTATATTTTGGTCTATTATCTTAGTGACTACATTTGTAGGAGGCTGTCATTGCTTGTACTGAAGATTACTGCTTAAAATAGGTGAATTACTTTCAAAAAGTCAATTCTGCCTGTCAGTCAGGGGGATGCAATTGACGTAACTTGCGGGACGGATTGAGTGGACACAATTCAGTGACTTGATGGATTGTGTGAGATTTAACCCAATGTTGATCATAATATCGATCACTGCTACTTTGTGTCAGGATGAGGTGAGGTGAGGTGAAATTGGGTTTAACATCGTGCTTGAGAATATTTCGCTCATATGACGATGTGCATGCATGTGTATGTGTATGTGCGGCTGCATGTACTAGCCCAGACTTAAGCTGGTTTTATATTGCTAGCCCACTGAGATACCATGCCGCAGTGAAGCATGAATACCCCACTCAGACAC